GTGTTGCCAGGCATGGAGCAAAGCTGGGAGTCCGAGTAGAAGCTGCACGAGTAGGCGTCCCTTTTTTGCACGCCGGGGATAAGACGATGTATGAGCTCGGCCCACTGCCTTTTGGCGCCCAGCGTGATGGAGTAACCAGCGTGGCCTGCGCGACCGTTGCAGCCGGTTGCAGCTGCCGCAGGTGGGGCGGGAGTTGTGTGGCAGGTCCAAGCCCGCCGGTCCAAGTCATTCACACAAAGGGAGGCGAAGTGCTCATCAGTCTTGCGCAAGCCAAGCCAGTGAGTGTTGCACCCAAGAAAGTTCAGGAAGATCCACTTGTGCGCAACGACCCGTGGTTGCAAAGTCGAATGCAGCACAAGCAAGCCACGAGCAGTGCGCCTGGCCCGCCGCCAGTGCAATTTGCAGCCAGTGTGTTGGAAAAGATGGAGCAACGCATCCTTGAGAAGTTCAGCGAAAGCGATCAAAGTCTCAGGTGACTCGGATGATGAACTGATGCCTGCTGCAGGTGGCCGAATGGATCAGATTGAGCACCAGCTCAGGGAACTTGCGGGCCGTCAGGTTGCTCAGGTGCAGGAGCAAGCCGTGACCCAGCAGACGCAAATCAGTGGCATCCATACGGCCATGGAGGAGCAAAGTGTCAAGGTGCAATCCATGTTTGACATGCAGATGCAAAAGCTTGAAGAGCTGCTGGCCAAGCGCCAGCGGCTCGGGTAGGCGATGACAGGTGCCGGGCCAGCTTCGGCTGGCCGAGGTGCTGCGAATCCATCCGGATTAGCTGGCAAAGAAAGCAAGGAAATGCGTGCTGGAGTGTGGGGAATGTCAAAGACTCATCTGACAGCTTCTGGGCTGCCACTCTTCCGTAAAGGTCTTGCCCTTGCAGGGTCAGTGTTTAAAAATTTTGCGCCGGGGTGCCCAGCTCGCCCACGTGCAGGTGGAACAGCGAGTGGTGAGTATGTGGGGGTTGGAATCTTGTCCAGCTACCCCACGCGTGCCTTGCCGGCGGCTGCTAGTAACCATGAGTGGGAACCGGGAAGGTTGGCAATGGCGGCTTCGTTGTCGGCAATGAGTGGGTGCAAGGGGCCGTGGTCTATGGGTACACCCCTGGGCCAACGCATCATGATACGGTGCGCCGCACGCAGGAATTGATGGAAGTTGCTGGTGAGCGCATTGCGCATCAGACGCAAGGATTGCGCTACATCTGTGGAGATTGGAACCACTCTCTTGATAAGCTTGCCATTGTCAAAGAGTGGGAGCTGAAAGGTTGGAAAGAAATTCAGCAGTTGGCATGGGAAAAATGGGGCATGCAAATTCAAAACACTTGCAAATGGTGCACGCGGAAAGATTTCGTGTTTATCAGCCCGGAGCTTGCTGTGAGGTTGGAGGATGTGCAAGTCCAACAGGTTTTTGCTGACCATGCTACACTGCATGGGGTGTTTCGTATCGGACAAGCGGAGCTGGGAAGCCGGCTGCGCTTCCTGTGTGGAACAGGGCGGAGGAGGTTCAGGATCAGTGTGTGACCCCTGCTGTGGCTGCAGTGTCGCTTACTGAGCAATACCTTTGTGTGGCTCAGGACTATGAGAATCAGGCAGTGTACCACTGGATGCAACAAGGGGTCCAGCTACCCTCGGTTGTTTTGGGCCGGGCTGCAACGGTAGACACCGTCCGTAGGAAGCCTTTCATCCCCCCTTGCGACCGTCGAGGCCAGGAGAGGTGGAGCCGGAGTATCTCGGGTCGTCAGTGGCCTATGCCAGGTGGTTCAAGCAACTCAGAAGACTGCAATCATACTTGCAAGCTGTCGCAAAAGGCAGTAGTAGTCCTGAGGCTCAACAGCACAGAGCCGAGCTGTGGCGGTCCATTGTTCACGCTGCTGGTTTCGCACCCTGCTTCGTGGAATGGTGGAGCGCGCGGGTGCATAGCATGGTAGGGGATCCGGAGTACATCCCGTGGTGGCCCCCTTCTGCGAAAGTGGCCGGGAAAATTTTTGCAGCATTTCAGGCAGAAGTCAAGACGCTAGGTGATAACTTAATGCAGCAGAAAAAGGCTATTGCCGTGCAGCGTAGAAGGGGAAAACCGGCGCTTGTCATGCGAGATGTCCGTCGGGAGCAGCCGGCTCCAGTGGAGGTCCTTCTCAACAGCCAGGTAGCGGTGGTGGAGGAGGTTCGTGCAGATGAAGGCATGATCGTGCTGGATAAGCCTCTGCATTTAGATGCACAACGGCCTGTAGTTCACAAAGGCTGAGGAGGATGGTGTTTGGGCGGAGGAATGCGGTCAGATCGAGCCGGGGGATGTGATCCGCCAGGATAAATTCGTGGGTGGCCTCAGTGAGATGTTTTCTGCTTTTGGCACTGAATGGAAAAACCGGTGGTGTAAACATGAGGAAGTCCCTGACTCTCGGTGGGATCAAGCACGTCACATTGCGCAGCTCTTACCCCACCTACCGGTGGATGAGGTTGAGGACATTACCCCAAGTCAGCTGCGGAAAGCAGTTAAAAGCAAAAAGGTCACAGCAGCCACGGGCCTAGATGCGGTGAGCAGGCAAGACGTCTTGCAGATGAGTGATCAGCAATTGCATGAGATTGCCAAAATTGTCCAACGAGTCGAAGCAGGCGACGCGTGGCCTGACCAGCTTGTGCAAGGGTCAGTTGCCTCACTTGAAAAGCGGCGAGATGCCAGCACAGTTGGTCATTACCGCCCGATCTGTGTGTTCCCGTTGCTGTACCGGGTATGGGGTACTATCAGAGCAAGGCCTATCACACAGCGCCTTGCTAGCACTGCTGCATCAGGCCACATTGTGCGATGGTGTGGTATCGCATTCAAGAGAGTGCGCAGACTGCTCACATGACCCAGATGCCTCTTGCAGGTTATGTGGCGGATGCGGTTAAGGCGTTCAATTGCCTGCCCAGGGCTCAGATCATTGAGGGGGCAGTACGCTTGGGCATCAGTCCCAAAATTTTGAGAGGGTGGGTTGGCGCGTTGGCTCTCATGAAGAGGAGATTTGTGGTCAGACAGGCTTGTGGACCGCCCCTGGAATCGCATACAGGTTTCCCTGAGGGCTGTTCCCTCTTAGCTTGGATCCCGAGTATGCCGCCTTGCAGGCCTCTGTTCGAGACATGAGGGCCTTGGCCAATCGGGAGCAGGTAACGGAAATCCTTGAGCGCTGGTTGAGTGAAGGTGGAAATCTGCCTCCTGGGCCCTCTCAGTGCTCATCAAGCGATGTCATCGCATTGGACTGTCGGTAGGGCCGGGCAGTTTTCTTTGTTGCAGCTTTGCTTCAGTCGAGCTTGGAACAGACATGTGGGAGGAATGTTGAGTGCAAGATGGGATTTCACAGGTGCTCTCACGGGTGACCCCGTTGAAACTCGCAAAGTGTGTTCAGCAGCGGACGTGCCAGAGGTTGCTGTCTAGCGAACGGTAGTAAATGGCACCACGTATGCTCAGGACACTCGTGCTAAGATAAACCCGGCGGAGTCAGCTGCCTGTCCCTGGTGCGCCAGACCAGATAGTGTGTGGCACAGTGTCATGCCTGATCACACTTTGGCATTGATAGAGTCCCTTCCGAAGTGCCTCACTATGCATGGGATAGTGCCTGAGGTTGCTGGCAAACAGCAGCTGCTAGCCTTTCTGCAAGGCACGCATGATAGCACCGGGTGGGTGGACCTCTTCACAGATGGCACAGCTGTCCACCCTGGTGAGCCAGTGATTCGCCTTGCAGCTTGGGCGGTGATCGTGGTGGTTGCTCCTGGATCTACCCAGGCACTGTGTGTCCTCGGGTCCGCTTCCTGGCTTGGTTCAGACAGTGCATAGGGCAGAGATCATGGCATTGATTGCTGCTCTCAGATACGCAGTTTGGGTTGCCAAGGCCCCACGCATCTGGATTGACAATCAATCAGTTCAGCGCAAGGCTCAGTCCATCTGTGAGCGTCTTTGGGCGCCCACGCCTAACTCTAGAGACTCTGACCTGTGGCAGGTGGTCGCGGCACTGGTCGGTCAGTGTGTGCAGTCGGTGAGGGAGTGTAAAGTGGTTTCCCACTGCCAGCCTAGTGATGACCTTGGGCCTGTTGAGACTTGGGCAAGAATACACAATGCAACGGTTGATCAGCTAGCTGCCAGCGCAAATCTGCAGTGGTGTCCTGACTGCAGTCAAGCAGGTCCACGGCAACTTACAAGCACTGCGCACCCTTGCTTCTGAAACATAAACTGTGCAGATGCGGGTAGGCATTCAAGCCACACAGACTGTCAAGGAGGCTAAAAGGCAGGGAAATGGAGTGCCTCCTGAACTGCCGCCGGCTCTTGCTTGTTGCCCACAGCCGGTTTTGCGTGGTGGTGGGGGAGAGTGTCCCAAGAGTGCTGCAAAGTTTGGAGTTGATTTTGTGAGGCATGTCAAGGCTTGGGTGTCTCACTTGGTGCGCACACATGGAAGCGCGGTGGTGTAGCTTTGCCCAACTGCTCATCGATTTTCAGATGGGAACAGGCTGGCCTGGTCCGCGGTAGATTGCATGAAGGTGAAATCCATTCACCATGTCCGTGCGAGTGCGGGAGATCGCACCAGGCGGTTCCGCATTGCCTTGCTTGAAATTCTTAAGGAATTGCTTCTGGATGTGCGCACAAGTTCGGTGCGTCCCTATAGCACAGCCCTGTGGGCGACTTTGCCGTGCGTAGCCTGGAGGTGGAAGCAGGAGCGGTGGGAGGTGGTGGAGGGTTGGCTGCGCCAGCAGCTTCCTCAGGGCGCAGTTCGAGGCGAGTACCGGGCGTTGAGGAACGTTCCGGTGGCTGCATTGCACAATGCAATGGGGCCGGTGGTTGTGCAGAGGGCGGGGCTCGCTCGTTTTTGGTAGGATAGAAGTTGGTTCCTGCTGCATTCTGCTTACGCTGAGTGCAGTAGACAAGGCCGAGAAAAGAGCAAAGAGGTTGGTGAAATATTGGTATGTTCCCTCACAAAATTGGTATGTTCCCTTTCTTTTGAACACCTTGAAAAGGCCACCCGCCCATTTGCCGCCCAGGTCGCGGCGAAGCCGGTCAGGAGCTGCGCGCGAAAAAGGCCAAGCCGCGAGCGAGAGCCGGTCAAATCGATATCAACAGGGGCTACCGTACCAGATTTCGCTGCTCATTCCTGCGAGATCGCTTGTTGCGCATAGCGATTGCGTTTGTATTCCTTCCCAATAGTAGTGAAGATCTAAGGGCCTACCTACCCAGGCCTACCCCAATTTTCTGCTACTTATGGTTTCTCTAATTTTCGGGCGTGTCCGCTTGGTTTGTAAGTATACAGCAAATGGACAATCCTGCACCAGTTGGGATGGATGAAACCGTATGAGTGCGATGAAGCACCTACCACCCAGCGCTAAGTGGATGTTGCCCCTCCACAGCTGTGGACTTTGGAGAGGTGTGACGCCAAAGTCTGAGGTCCGGGGCCCTGATGCAGCAGGTGGTCTCCAACGTGCTGCTGCCCGACCGCTCAGCCATAGGGAAAGATGTGTGCAATGAGCTGGACAGGGCAGTAGGGCCTGGAATGGTGGGTTTGTTGGGGGGACCCTTCGATGAACATTAGGTGGGGATTCATGTCCATCAAGCACCTTTGAAGTGGTTCCATATGAACATTGATTGTCATGGTCAGCGAATGTATGGACCCTGATATCGGTAATTTTGCCAAGTTGTTCAAGGCATCATGGGCTTCTCCGCCTCTCAGCAGGGTGCTGAAGCCATGCAAGCTGTCGCAAGCTGGTTGACTTGCACGCCGAGTGTTTAGACGCTTGCCCTTCATTGAGGGAGGCCGCCTAGCAACAGTAGGCAAAGGCAGCTGCACGTAATAAGTAGTTTGCTTTCCAAAGGGTTGCACATGTCTCAAAAGTAGGAATATGATGCGTTCGGAACATGTTGGAGCTCCCATCTGCCTTCCCAGCTTTGGGTCCAAGCTCTCACGATTTGGCTTGTCCACTGCACTTTGGACGGCTCAACAGACTTGCGCAATTCAAACAGATAGCACGGGCAAAGAGCTTCCAAGGTGGTTGGATCATCCCAGGGACGTGGCCGTCGTCCACATGTCTCGCCCTTCGTGTCCAGCCGCTTTGGGCTTAGGACTGGACCTCCGGTGAGCGCGTTCCTGCATTCTGCTCTAGCGACTCAGCTGAACCCTCGAAACATGTGTACTGGCATCAGGGGATGGATTAAGAGGAATTAAGGTTCCAGATGGAGCCCTGCTTAAGAATGAGAAAATCACAACCTGCGCCAATAGCCAAGTGGCTTCAAGTCCAGTGGTTGCTGCAGATGCCGCAGCTCACCTACTCCAGCTCTCACCCAGCTGACCCAGGCACGTTCTTGGTTCAAAGGCAAGAAGGTGCACTACGACTCAGTGCTGAAATATCTCCAGCGCCGGGCGCCCGTTCGTTCAGATGGGTCTGATAGAAAGTAGCAACCCAAAAAATGTAACCAGCTTTACAATCTCTGGAGTGGGTCCTTAGGTCCTTAGTGGTTTTGACGCAAACCTGAGGGGTCCGGGTCAAAAACACAGTGCAACATGCCAACGCCTTGCCCTGTTGAGTCTCAAGCGCTGATCCGTGAAGGATTGTGCTTCGCAGTAATTATTGTAGTTGAACAATGTTTTTGCATCAGGCAGCTTCACCACCGGCTGCCAATTTGTTATGTGGTTAGAGTGTCTGATGACAAGCACATAATTATTTTCATTGTATGCGTGGAACTGGCCAACAAGACTGTTGGTGATTTCCAGAATCATGCTTGTTACCTTTTGTACCAGGCATGGCTGCGCACTGAACTATACAGTGCAAGCATGAACGCTGTCTTGCCACAAATGCATGCGTGCTTGGCACATCATTATGGAACCGGCCTCTCCTTCTTGGCGTTTCTTTTGAGCCTTGAGTTGTGTCTTTTGGGTATCCAGCTTGGTTGCCACACTGATTTCCCCGGAATCCCTGGACGGCGCCAAGAGGTAGAAACTTGGCAGCTCATCCGGATGAGCTCATCTACATCACAGGGCCTGGAGCCCAGCACGGTCGGTGGCAACTCTCTATTGCCCTTTTTGGAGTTGTCACTAGCCAAAATCGAGCTCAAGCGTGGAAAATAATGTCACCTGTCAGCATCAACGTTGAATACGCATACACTTTCCGAATTTTAGCTGCCCAAGAGCAGTCATCTCACTGATTGAGGGCACTCCAGGCATAACCGCACCTACGTTCGATATTGCCAATTGTAACCTTTTCCTGCTTTGTCACTACAAGACGCTCACACTAGCAACAGCAGAGCCACTAGGACCACAGAGCAGCAGTCCTGCCAGGGTGCATCAGGCACCCCCTTGATGCGCTTAACACCAAGAAATTTGGAACATCTTGGTATTGGGCAATCGACTGTGAAGCAAAGGAGGAGGGTTTGCAAAATCGGGAGGGAAGACGCACACTTCTCCACACCTCGCACTACCGGATTCGTCGCATAATGCGCATGTTTTTCCAGGCATTCGCTGGGAGGCGGCATCGCCAACCTTCTGGGTGCAGCGCTCAGTTGCTCATTTCATTGTTTGCATGTCCATGTCCAGCACCACGGAGCACGGTTGGCGGAGGGAAGCTGTCGCCCAAACCATGAATTCTGGAGCTGATTGCGGGCTTTGTGCTTTCAGCACGTGGCCGAATGAGGGACCCCGTGCTGGACTCGTGAAGGCAAAGGTGGCGACCTTCTCCAGTTGCAAGTTGCCCCATCAATGAATTACCGATGTGGGCAATTCAGAGTCAAAAGGGCGAGGGCCAGGCAATCATCTCGTGGCGCCGGCCCTTTGCCATTTGGCAGTGTTGTGTTTTTGAGGGTTTGGAAAAGAGCCACGGCGGACATCCGTTACATACCCCGTTACAACAAGAACTGCTGGCTCGTTACATACCTTCGTTCCATACCCCCGTTACATACCTTGCATTAGAATACCTCACATTAGCAAAGCCGCCCGGCTGGTTGAATGCCTCTGGTTGCATGCCCTGATGCATACCCAGGCTCTGAGTGATTTCCCATGGGTTCCCGCAGAGCAGACTTTCGCAGAGCATGCTTTCGCTTGACATACCCATGAAGAGTCAACTTGTAGAGAGCTTGCCATTCAGAAGAAAAGTTGGAACAGGTAGTAGGTAGGGGCTGAAAGAAAGCATCCTCTTTCTGTGCTATACCCCGCTACGTACCTCACTGCGTAGTCGTTGCAACCCCAGCCCGGGTCAGCGACCCCCTTTTTTGCCGTCGCGTGGCTTGCGCGACTTTCGAGCTGGAGCTGGAGCTGGAGCTGCGGAAATGCACTTTGATGTTTGCCTGCGCCCATTGAGCCACTGATACTTGTGAAGCGCTGTTTCCCATCACGCACCCATGTATCACGGCCCCTGGCACAGACCTTTGTAACAAGATGCGCGATACATACCCTCAACAAAATAGCCGTTCCACAGATTCCCCCAAAACGATGTTATGCATGAGGCGGAGCTTAGGCGGTTTGTCCATATGCATGCCGTATGCGACCCGTGGCATACCTCCCAATGAGCATTCGATTGGCTGCGAGGTGCAGAGCTCGGCATCCCCTCCATCGCCTTCTCGCCCCCAGGGGTGCAATCCACTGCCCCTTGGGCCGATTGCGATCGCCGGGAACCGGTTGAGTGGAAACTTGGGGTTTCAAGTAGGTTGGTTGCATGTGAGCCCTTGCAAAGCCGTTCGATGCCCTAGACTTGACACAACTCAACACGCTTTTGGCGCACGCGCGACGGCACGACGCACGCGCCAGCCAGCCTGCAGCGCCGGACTGTTGCCAGGCAACGCTTCTGGAGATCAATCCGGCGCGTTTACAGGCTTGAGTCGAGTCGAGTCAAAGCTCGCGTCCTTTCACTATGTTATTGAGTGACCTTCTGGCGTTTGACAAGCAGCTCTAGTGATGGAAGCTAGCTATGCCACAAAGTTCTACTCTGGCTTGTCCAAAGCGTCATGCTGAGCCGTGTTGCACGGCTTTGACATGCTACCCAAGAGAGGCTATGGCCTTGGACATCATTCCCGACCAGGATCCAGTGTCTCGGTGCCAGCCTTGGCAGTGTGTGATTGGGGAGTTGTTCTTTGGTGGAGTTTTGAAGAGAACAAGACGTCACCAGCCCTCCAAATTCCAACAGTGCCTCAAAACGTGTCCATGGCAGCCCAAGGGCAGCAGGGCCCCATGGCACTGTGCAGCTGCCCATTGGCTGTGCGGACAAGGGCGCGCAGTGCGGGGCCTCAGTTGCCTTGGGTCAGCGGCGGCATGCCGTTGAACGAAGTTGGGGTTCACGGAGTGCCTGTCGAGTGCCTGTCAAAAAGAAGACAATGAGACGATATGGGCAACATTCAGTGCAACGAAATGTGTTCAGCTACAACAGCGGTGGGTTGCTTGAGCCGCTCTACCAGGGCAGAAGCCACAGAAGGGTTGCCAGGACAGAAGCCAGCTTAGCATATAATATGAATCTGATGAGGGGAACTGTGCATATACTCAGATCCACCAGGTGCAGCGCTTGATGAGTGTTTTGGTGCAGAGGTGCCACCGCATTTTCAACAGCGTTTGTGAGCTCTTTGACATGTGCGGAGACCAGGCCAGGCTTGATTGACATTTACTGCCCACTTGCTTTGTAGGCGCTTTCCTTTGCAGACTATTTGTGCTTGTTTGTCAGCTAACTCACTAAAGAATGCGGCTTGCGTCCATTGAAGAGGGCTACTTGAGAGTTTGCGCCAGGCAACGCCTCGGCGCGCCTCCCTGGCTCGGTTTGACGGTTCGGTTTGGGACAGGGCGTCGAATGTCGCCTGGAAAGATTCTCCGGTTTTTGATGGAGGGACCCATCGCTCCCTTCGGCTCGCTGCCAGAAGCTGCCATGTGACTTTTGTCCTGCAAAGATCCAACAACGCCACTCGCCGGGGCGCTCAACAGCATGCTTTGGGGAGCCGGGAGCTAGTGGCAGACTATGCCAGACTGTCGTGGTTTGCGAGGCAAAGCTTTCTTCATGGTAGGACTGTCAGCATTCGCCACGTGATGTTGAAAGCAAAGGCTTCTCTTGGAAATGCCTGTGGTGTGCTTTTGGGCAGCTGCTGTCCTATCTGTCCAAGGCTGGCGCCGCACTGCGCCCGCCACGGCGAGCCTCTTGAGCCCCCGCCAGTGATCCTTTGATTGGAAGTTTTATCCGGCCTCCAGCACTTGGACAGGGCCGAACATCCCAAATCGTCAATGATATCAACTAAGCAATTGCAATTCTTCAGGTTTGCAGGGCTTTTGCCGGACTTCCGGGTGTTGGGGGCCAGTGCACGTTTGATCTGGTGCCTGTCTTGGAACAAGAGGGAGGGCGCCTTGTAGTCGCCACCCATGCCGCTTGGGCTCTGGGGAAAAGCCACTGTGTGGAGCTTCCCACTCGCGCTGCAGGTGAGCTGCTGTGACGCAAGGGTGCGTCCTAAAATTGAATATAGTTGGTACTCGCCCAGAAGACACGCTCATGAGTTCATACAGACTCTCTCTCTCTCTACGAACCTTCGTCAAGGGCTAGACAGACTTGACGTTTCTTCCAAGTTACCGGGGGCCATCGTCTCTTCATGTTGTCGGCGCCAGGGCAAAAAGGTTTGCAACAATGCTGCCGGGATCTCGGCAGCCACAATCAGACTCGAATGCGCATTCCAGGCTTTCCATTACATTTTGAAGAGAGAGAGAGAGAGAGAGGAAGACAGAGACACAGAGAGAGGAAGAGAGAGAGAGGAAGAGAGAGAGGAAGAGAGAGAGGAAGGGTGATTGGGGGAGTTGGAGACAGGTAGCGACAGAGACGTAGGGAGACGGGCAGGCAAAATAGATTGGGAGATGGGTAGTGAGGGAGATAAGCAAAGAAGAGGAGGATAGAATAGTACTATGTAGGTCATCAGGAAGGGCCATAGGTTATCACTAGAAGTGATTCACACCTCAACTTGTTTGGCTTAAGGTGCTGGCTGCAGTGCTGCAAGATGCAGCAGGAGCAGGCTTTGGCCTGTCTGCCCAGCCAGTGGCCGCCATGGAGGACGCAAAACGGGGCATCCGGAGTGTCACACCAGTTTATCTTTTGGCTATCTGCCTGGCTACCCGGGTGTTGGGGGGGTCGGGAACAGGTTGGATCCTCGGGGATGTTCCCACAAACAAACTTAGGGCTGCCCCGTGTGTCCCACCCTAGGCTAGTGGTAGGAATTAAAGGTCCGGCAGGCCAGGTGGAACTTCCAAAGGCATGGTCAAATCCCCACAAAAGTGTTTCCCCTCTTTGGGTTGCATGGTTTCTAGTTGAAACAGGGCCCGGAAAGCACCTCAACACAAACCTGAACAAAGGGCATCCCAGTACCAATCGGCTCACAAGGAAGCGTTGCTGCGACTGCTGGTGCTCCACAAGGAGTTGGGCAAGGAGCCATCGACTGGGCCGTTTGGTGATTTTGGCGCTGGGAGTTGGGTGTGTCCCAAAGTAGTCGGACCTTGAAAAATGGTTTGGCGTCCTTGTACTTCCGTTAAAACCAGGGCGTTCCCCAAGAAGCATTCATTTGCCCATTGTGGGGGCGCGGGTGGGCATTCGGCTTGCAAAAGGTGGAACTTAGGAAGCGCAAACCAGTCCTTCTAGGCTTTTGCAAGGCCCTAATCAATTGAAAGGCTCGAACAAAAGCTGCTTACAAGACGCCATGGTCATTGAGTCAATTGCTGCATGCATGACAAGAAGATGTTGAAGTGCATAACTCCCTGCAAACGGATCAGTATTTGGACAAATGTGTTGATGCTTGGACCAATTTGTTGCACTCTTGATTCAACGCTTCAAACGTTGTACAGGTGATTCATTCGAATATTCAACATGTTTGGCCTGGGACCTCGCTATGATGTTTTGATCATCAGCTATAAACATAGAATGAGACATCTTGAACAAGAAATCACCAAGCAGAACTCAGAAGTGAAGTGGTGGCTTCGAATTGAATCATTTCAACGTAACATGGAGCTATCCCAGTGCCTGATGCTTGCTGGGTCAAAAGCGATAAGACAAATTTGGAGTGGCTGTGGTGTGCTGGGTGTCTAGAAACCACAACTCTTCTTTTCAGAGGGTTGGATTGTTTGATCCACGCGGCTGTTTCCCGTTCCCGTGAAGCTCTTCAGGACCAGCCGCAGGCAGCCTTGGCGGATGCTACCAAGGGGCACCTGGGCTGCAAGTGGGATGCCGGGGGTTAGCTGCTGCTATTGGACTGGACTGGCGACGGAGCGGTGAACTCCGGGCTCAAAGCCTTCCGTACATGCTCTTGCTTGGAGTGTTAGCACGATTGCACTCAGAGGCTTGCGCCCCGCATGCTGCAAGTGCTGGAGGAGGGGCCCTCAGTTCCTCGCGAGAAGTTGGGGCAAGCAGCCTGCCTGGCTTGTTCTCAGTCCCAGATTGTGCTTGATGTGGATGTATGCCAGCATTTTACAGAGACATGATGCAAAGAGAAGCGTGGGCGCCTTTGTTGTCTAGAGCTCGCGCTGAGGCGGCCAAAGCAGTTTGCGAGGCACCGGGCTTCGTGACAGAGTCGACTCGACTTGCGCCTTGTGGCAGGCGAACCGCACAAAGCTTCTAGCCTACACCGAGGCCGGGCGTGCAGCTCCAAATAATTTATGTCCTTGTGGTTTCCTTGACCAAAGTTGATTGGGGCATTCGGCCACGGGAGTGGACAGGAGAAGCAGCTCGGAATTGACCGTGCGGCCGGCTTGTCAGATGCTCCTCAAGGTTGGGTCAGACAAGCAGCCCCTGCAAAGCTCTGCAAAGCATACTCTCGTTTTGAAGGAGACGCTTGGCTGTGATTCGCAGGATGTGCATGAGGTTAGTTCCTGGGCCAGCGGCGTGCCAGGCTCGGACTACTTGGTGCCTCAGATGAAAGCCCTGGACAAGTCCCGGCACCCAGCCCGAGGAAGTGCGAAGGACTAATGCGACGCTTTCTGCCAGCTGAGAGGAGTCCCAACTGCCTGGCGCTCCGATTGCCACAGCAACTGTTTGTCTTGCGTGCGTTGTTTGGCCGGGCCTTTGCGGTTAACGTTGAGATGGCGGTGTTTTTCTTGACGGTTATGTAGGAGAGCCACGGCGGGCACCTCGTTGCATACCTTTTCACCCCTACCTGGCAACGCTTGTCCCACTCCAGAGTTGAAAGGTTCACCGGTCTATGCAACAGCAAACAAGGTGGCCATTACGTGCCTATGTAGCAGCATCCCTCCAAAGGCACGCGTTGCATGGTTTGCCTGTCAAAACAAACCCAGATGCGAAATGCAGACAAAGGAGGACAAGCACCTAGGGCCAAGTACAGTGTTCCATACTGTTAAATGTGCGGCATACCCCAAAGATGATGGTGTGATTTGCGTGCCACCCTCAGGGTCCCTAAAAGAGTCACGAATTTGTCACCTCCCAAAAGTGCACATCACTGCGATGCATACGGTGATATGATGTTAGGGAGGACCAAACACATTTCTCTGAGGTCATCGTTCATGCGTTTTCTTAAGCTGGACGGGACTACTCAGGGCAATATTTGCTTTGACCCAGTTGTTAGCAGTACAGTACTTTCTCGGATATTTGGGCAAGATAAACCTCTACCTGGTCGACCCAATGACCATGCCGCGTGCCGACCTGGTCGCGTATTGAGCCGCAGGCTCCATGGCCAATTCTCTTCGCTGGTCCCAGGCAGAGACCAGTTTGGTCGAGCTCTGTGAAGACTTGGTGCATGCAGTCAGAGTTCAGAAGTTGGTACAGGTGTCGTAGTCAATTGCTTTCACCAACATTCCGCTAGTTTGTTTAGTTTGTTTATTCGAGCTCAAGCAGCATTTGGATTGCTTGTTTAGCTCATGTGCACTGGGAATTAAGCATTCTTTGTGTTGCGATTGCCAGGACAGAGTGAAGTTCTACAGGACCGGTGGAGCCATGCATGACCATGGTCGGCAGCGCCATTTTGCAGACTGCCTTGTCGTGCGCACGATTTCGAGCGCTTCTTTTGTTCTGTAAGGGCGTGAACTTTAACTGTTGCGGGGTAGGCTTCATGATTCATGAAAACTCATATTTCAGAGCTTCAGGAGCGCTGCGAATGCGGCGCCGACTTCTCCGCAGACGCCAAGTTCTGCCGCCTTTGCGGCCGGCGACGCGATGTGCGGGTGGAGGTTTGAGGGGGCGCGGAGAGAGTGGGGGCACATGTGTCTCAAAAAATATGCAGAAAGTTGGTTTCCTGTTGGTTTCCATTTCGTTTTTGCCAAAAGGGTCCGAATCCCATCTTGAGAAACCCCCAGCTGACACCTGGCCTTGAGGGCTTGCCATCTGCATGGAGTGTACTACGCTTCGAGAGGTTCACAGCTGGTCCCTTTGGCCTTGATACATGCGTTTATTTCTTTCTGTCAAAGTCTGTTGGTGAGGTTCCGAGGTTGCTGAACTGTGCGCACCCTTCCAATGTTTACAGTTTAGCGCTTGACTCGTTGACCTTGACAAAGGCCTTTGAGAGAAGGGATGACTGATCGCTTGCCAGGCCACAGCAGCCAGGCGCCAGCACACAGGGCTGGGGGGGGGGAATCAGGGAGGTCCGCCAGTTTGGGCAACGGCTGGGCATTTGTAAAATCCTTTTGGCATTGGAACGTCACAAACGCAGTTATCCTCAGCTCAAGAAGTGCTTTGGGCAGAGCTGCTTCCGTGCTGCAGAGGTTCTTTCAATAAAAGTTTTGAGGAAGAGTTTCATGGGCTTTGCAATGTAGGGACTTCCTGGCAAAGTGCTTTCTCTGCCCTGGCTCTCCCATGGCTGTGGAAGAGCCATCTTCATCGTTACTTTTTGCACAGCTCGCCACCCATCAACATTTCGGCGCATCAGCGAGTCAACAAACGCTGGCGCTGCCCGGTTTGTCCCTGTATTGCTCGGTGCTGGGCTTTGGAAGCCGGCCAGGCTTAGTCCGCGCCAGCGTGAGCCGAGCTCTCAGCGTCGGCAATCTGAGGCTGTGAAAGTGTCGGATTTGGCCTTCGCACCTTGGGACTTGCAACGCCCTTCGCCCCTTCGCCCCTTCGCCCCTTCACTCTTGTCTTTGCAGCTGCGTAAGCACTCTTTGACGAGTTGAGCGCGATCCAAGGGGCTTTGTGCACAGGGGATTATAAGCCGCAAAGTGCTGTAAGAATGGGGCGGAGCGGAGATCCAGAT